TATAATCTTATTTACCTACATCAGCTTTTCGGAAGAATGCCGTACCTGGTAAGTAATTGCACTTTTAAAACCCTTGTTAGCCTGCCTATTGAGTATCTAGTAGATTAGATAGTGACGAACTAGTCAGCTGATTTCCGTTTTCATTCTCAGTACACGTGGAAAGAGATAGCAATTGTTTTCATTGACTAAGCGACGCATCGCGCGTAATTTGTGAACGACATTATGCAGAATGTAGTCAATGTTTACTTAATTACTTTATGTAATTAACTGGTCCGGGGTACGAAATTTCTTCACAATTGTAATCTGTAAACATAACACTACCTCCCATTAAAGCCGTGGCAGATAATTATAGAGCACCTTATATACCGGTCACAATTCCAGAATATTTTTTAAAAAACCCAGTAATACTTTCCAGTCGCACTGGCGACCACTCGGCCAACGAGCCAGTCTGTAATTTGACTAGTCAACTATCCTAAACTGTTTAAAGATATCATGATGATTCCTTACCATTACCGGAGAATCAAAATCGAAAGCAATTCTTAATATGACTCTTGGATCTGAATTGAAGAGTATCTGTTATTCTGTACTAACCTTAACACAAGTAGGAGTAGACACAAGTACATTCCTGGCCGCAATGTCTCTGTGTACAAACTTCTTGCTCTCCAAGTAGCTGAGTGCCGTGGACAGCTGGTAGATGTACAGGACTAGTGTGCAGGTTTCTAGTCTGCAATAGATAAAATCATTAGAACATGGCTTTTACCTACATCTTAGAGTCAAGCTTCGGCACAAATGGGCCCGCTCAACCAGAGTAATATCACGGCCTAACAGAAAACCGTGGCACCGTTGTTACCGGAGACCCAATCCCCACTTAGAAGTTCGGCAACGTTCTTGTACCTCCTCTAGTGTTCATAGGCGGTGCTAACAGCTTACCACCATGTAACCCGTAAGTTGTTAATTTGCCGGCCTATGCCATAAAAAAATCAACAAATAAAGAAAGAATAATTTTAAGTCAAAGTTACAAAAAACCCAAGGAAAACTCAACTCTATCCTCACACGCTTCAAGTTCTAAATCGCATATCAACATACCTGTGTGCATTTTGTTGTAAATAGGCCCTCATCTCCCCCAGTGTAGCGAGTTCCATGACGATCCAAATCGGCGGGGAACTACATACACCCACTAGGCCGATGATGTGCGGGTGGGAGAATTGCTGCATTATGTCTAGAGGAATAAGGTTCATATTTTAATGCAGTGTTGAATGTAGTTATAAGACCCGATAAAGATGGTTTAGGTTCAAAGTGGACTGGCAAAGTTTAGGTACAATAAATATTCAATGCTTACAAATTTAGTTTATATAAAACACATTCTTGCGAGAATCGTTGAATAAAGAAAGCATTGTTAATGAAATTAGTTTATATAAGTAGTTATTTTAGAAAAAAAAAATAGATCAACAATTTGTTAAACGTTCCTATAAATCGTATCTACGTTAAATAATACTGTGGTTACGAACATTATTGAGAGAAAAAGGAAAAAAATATCTTAGAGAGACAGAAAAAGACCATAAAGTATGTTCGATAAACACAAATTAAAATCTCATTATGTTTTCGGCTTGCTCACGTTACAATTTGACGACGAACTCGACTAGTTTCGCAGCATGAGCAGCATCTCGCGACCCGCGACGCGGCGACTGTCGCGCTGCTACTGAATATGAGCCTCTAGCATGGCTTGAAACTAGTCGAGTTTCTCGTCAAATTATTACGTGAGTAAGCCGAAAACATTATAATTTATTTAGTATTTCTTACGAAAGTTACAATACAAATTAAAATCTTGTTAAAGATCACGTTCCAATTATGTAAAAGATAACTCACAAGCTTCCTCTAGGAACTTCTCCGCGGTGTCCAGGTCGGCGTCCATCTTGCAAGTCTTGACAGCGACGGGCAGTACGGAGTCGCCGCGCGCCGCGCCCGCCGCCAGCTGGCGCCGGAGTGACGGGTGGTTCGACGATGTCACTTTACATGTACCTGGGAGGAGGTACTTGTTAATGTGATAATTATTGAGAATATACATATGTTATGGAAATTTATGACGCACGCTTCTCATGCTTGAAAGTACGAGTTCGATACCCACCAACAGCCAGCACCAATGCGACTTTTTCGAAGATTATTTAGACCCACTGACAAATGGTGAAGAAAAAACATTGTGAAGTAACATGGGCTTATAATTTCTAATTATAAGTTTGAAATCCCCAACCCGCATTGAGTAAGCGTGGTGATTAATGCTCAAACCTTCTCCGTGTGAGAAGAGGCCTTTGGTCAGGAGTGGACACTTATAGGCTGTTTATGATGAGGATGATGTGTTATTTTGTTTTGTCGTTAAATCAGTTTTGTTATATAAATGCACAGTTTTAAATAAATGAGGGATCCAATAAATTAAATCAACTCATTAAAGTCCTTTACTAAAGTTGTAACAATGGTATAAGGATAAAATCAATAATTATTATCAGCCTATGATTACAGGAAAAAAAAGTTCACTTGAGTAGACTGTACATTTTTTTTATTAAATTGTTTTATTATTCTCCATGGACACGTGTCCGTGCGCTTATCATTTAATTATATTTTCTTTTTTATAGTCAATATCAATTATTATAAAAATCTTACGTGCACGTCACACACATTACATATCACAACAATTTATGTATTTTTTAACAATTTATTTTTTACACAAAGTTCTTAATGAAGTCAGAAAGTAAGTGTATAATTAGGATATGAATTATAAAGTTATAATAATATTGGGTAGGTACTTAATACTTATTATGTTACCTTTGTGAACGTCTCCGAACTGCCCTTCACCGATGATACCTGTCAGTTCTATTTGATTCCGCACTAATTCGTAATCTCGAACTGAAACAAATAATGAAAAAAAAATTTTTTTATTATCGGGCTTATCATCTAACGTCTACTAATTCCCGTAGTATTATGCTATTCGGGTTACTAACGTAATTATTTGACGAGGTACTCGAGTAGTTTCAAGTCATGCTAGAGGATCATATTATTATTATACATATACTACAGTAGGAGCGCGACAGTCGCCGCATCGCGGGTCGCGGGATACTCAGGAATATGAGCCTCTAGCATGGCTTAAAACTAGTCGAGTTCAGTTACATGAGTAAGCCGAAAAACATAATAATTAATGTAGTATGTCTCTGTACGACTCAATAGAGAGCCAGCAACTGAATCCATATTTCTTTCCCCGCAAACCCAAGGTCAATTACTCGCCACATAGATTTTTTTTTTAAACGTTGCCCCACTCTAGGATTTTCTCCTGTGTCGTGGGTGCGTTTACAAACATACAAGTTCACATACACAATGAAACCCAGACCCGAAACAACAATTTGTGGATCACACAAAGTGTTGTTCCGTGCGGGAATCGAACCCGCGACACGTTGCTCGGCAGCCGGTTGCGCAGCCACCGCACCAACCGTGCAGTCGTTACAACTTCATGGATGTTTTATGTCTAAAGATAAATGCAAACTTTTCTTTCTTTTCCTCACCTGCAGGAGTAGAGTAGTCGGCGTCATCATCAACAATCTCCGCGTAGTCCTCGGACAGTAGTGTCGCCGTGTTCGCCTCCCACGAACTCGTCTTACCCTCCGATGAACTGCTGCTCATCTCAGCTGCAATATTACAAGATGTTACAAGATTGTTCAAGTACGTTTAAGTATGGGAATAGGAATAGGCAAACCGGCTGGAATGTCTTGATACGAATGAACATAATAACATAACATAACATCACGCCTTTTTATCCCCGAAGGGGTAGGCAGAGCACATTGCGGCACTTAATGCCACTGTACAATGCAACACCCACTTTTCAACAATTTATGTTTATGAGTCCAATGTAATAGGGGGTGAGCCTATTGTCATATATCGGGCACAATTCCAGACTCCGTGTTACCACTGAGATTTTTTTTAAACCCAGTAATACTGCCCAGTAAGCCCGACCCGAGAATTGAACCTGTGCAATTGTGCCTATTTTTATGTGCATATTTACTTATAATAATATATATTGTAGGTATGTTACGAATCCTATGTAATCAGGGCCGCCTTAGATTATACTGTAATACTTTGGCATACAAGAATTCAGGGCCTTGTGGAATGTTTTCTACACTAGGATTTTCTCCTGGGGTGCATTTACACCTAAACATGACACCCAGACCAGAATCAACAATATGTGGAGCACACAAAGATTCGCTCCGTGCGGGAATTAAACCCGCTACAGTTGCGCAACGTATAGCGGGAGAGCCCGTCGTAGAAATTGTCAGTCTTTCAGGGCCCCTGAGGATGGGGACCCTGGGCACGGGCCCTGAGTGCCCTTATGGTAAGGACTACTGCATGTAATAGGGAAGGCTATTGCCATAAATACAGAGCGGAATTGACAAACAAATACATTATAATCAACTTACTTTTGCACTGACAATTGAGTTGCTTCCATACGGTAGCTTGTAATAAACAAAGAGATCGATAAATAAATTCATATAGCTTTAACTCGTCGAGTACCGGTTTTGTAGACACAATTATAGAACAATAGGTTGCGGTCACCGGTGACCGCTTGCTGTTTAACAGTTTAAATAGAATAAGTTTTTTTTTTCTTTTTTAGGGGGAAAATCATCGAATGGCTGCTCCCGCCTGGGTGAGGCGGAAGGGAGTGTCAGACTCTTACTGACTAAAAACCACCCCGTTCCTTCTCCTGCACGTCGAGCCGGAGCCCCGGTTACCCGTTAGGTTCTCCGCGACTCCGAATCGGCATCGGCCGTATTGGGCCCCATCTGTGGTGGTCTGATGGCTCTTTAAGGCGCGCGCGGAAAATAGAATAAGTTAACAGGACGTGAAGCAAAGTAATTATGACTTACTTGTTCTATTCCATAAAGATGTTTGTGACTCTGTGACCAGTCTGCAGTAGCCATCTACTAAATCAGCTAAACTTTCTGCTGCCTACAAACAAAATATATTTTAATTAATGATATCTCAGAACGAAAGAAGAGCCATAGTTTTATGTTTCTATGTGCAATTGTGCATATAGAACAGGATATCGTGAAAGTGGGTAAACAATATTAATAGAGCCATGCGTCGGCACGAATGGGCCGGCTCGACTGGAGCGATACCACGGCCGAGCAGAAAACCGATGTGAAACAATGCTTGCGTTGTGTTTCGTCGTGTTCATGAAGTTACCCGAGGCCCAATTACCCTGGCCCCCACCATTCCCCATTCCCTGAATCCCCAACAATTCTCAAATTCCTAATCCCAATAGACCGGCAACGCACTTGTGTTCCAGGTGTCCATGGGCGGCGCCGATTGCTTTCTATCAGGTGATCCGTCTACTCGTTTACCGGCTTATGCCATAAAAAAACATAGGTTTTGTTGAACACCTTGGGAATCTTTATTTTATTAACTGACTTTAACTTAACCAATGAGTTTACAGTTAAATAATAATCCAGTACAGAGATAGTAACTACTAATAATTAACTAATTTGTATCTTTTTTTAAGGAGACAAATCTTTTGCACTGTACTGAAATGTCACAATGTAACTGGAGTTCTAAATAGCAAGGGGTGTCAGACTGTGTGTCATGAAAAGTTAGGTATATAGTATTTTGTATTGCTTACCTCTACACTGCTGCACGTGATAGTGAGCGTCTCTGTCGCTCCCTTTACCCGTAGTTGTAACGCGGCCTTACCACAGGAGCCACTCTGAAACAATACAAACAGAACAAAATTGAAACTGGCTGATTTAAAATTTATCTGCATCTATCTACTAGCTACTTCCGCGCGGTTTCACAAGCTCTGCTTAGCTCTTATTGGTCGTAGCGTGATGTTTTATAGCCTATAGCCATCCTCGATAAATGCTCTATCCAACACAAATATAATTATTCAAATCAGACTTGTAGTTACGGAGATTAGCGCGATCAAACAAACAAACAAGAAAACAAACTTTTTCGCTTTATATAGTATAAAAGATATAGTACATATAATAAAATCGTAGGAAAGTGAAAACAGTACATTAAATTTTTTTTAAAAGAATGGTTGAGGCATGATCTGCAGTCGATATCGAAGCAAAAATTATGATTTTTAGAATTTTTGTCTGTTTGTCTGTATGTATGTCCGGGTTAAACTCAAAAAGTACTGTATAGATTTACTTCAAGTTTTGCATGAATATTACTAACAGATCGGGTCAACATATAGGCTACATATTATAACGCCATCACCTACGGGGGAAGAGCTGTGAATCACTATTCCACGCGGACGAAGTCGTGGGCACAGCTAGTTAAAAATATTCATTATACACCCATGCGATAATTTTGTCATACATGACCATCATAATATCAGTCAGAAGACGTCTACTGCCGCGCATAGGCCTTCCTCAATGACTTCTAGATATAGACAGGCTGGCTTCCAGTGTAGGTCAGCGACCTTTATCAGGTCGTCCGTTCACCTTGTGGGTGGAAGTTCTACGCTGCGCTTGAGACATTCGAAATTCGAAACCCTTTCTGATGCCTTAGTACGAGGTTGTTTAATGTTTAAAGTAATCGAAACAAGACCATGTTCGGCGCTCTAATTGGTTGATTCACTGGAGCCGGCCAATCAGAGCGCCGTATGGATACTCGTTAATGCCTCTGTCCTATAAGCCGTTGGTTCAAGCTATCCCGTCAGTAGCCTTAGCTTGCCCGTGTCAAGTTTAACACGTCGTGTGTCTAAACGTGGATCCACGCGAACAATGTATTTTCTATTGTGTCTCATATCGGTGTCACGTTTGTTAAGTAATTAGTCGACATTTTAGTCTAATTACACTGATTGATCAATTATAGGAAAAACTTTTGCGAGCCTGGGCCCATAACCTAATAAAACGCTATGCTGGTTTGCAATCAACTGAACTTTGTTTGAATATATTTGAAAATATTTGAACATCACTCAGCCGTTCATCCGGTCTGTTCATTCTAATGTTTATAAGTTAACATAAGCGACACTAGATGGCATTAGTAGTAACTATAAATAATTGGTTATTTTGTTATATCTATTTTACACATTCAAGCGGTTAAACGTTGTTGAAAACTATAGATCATGTTATATTTGGGTGGTAAAGATTTGTACCTGCGTCTGCGACTGTTGCGTGCAGTTGGACTTGAGTGTCTGCACGGCCACGATGTCACTGAACGACGCGATCTTTGTGTACGTCGGGGGCTCGCCCGCCTTGTGGGACACGTATGATATATCTGTAGACAATTATATGCGATGATTAATAAAATAAAACATATGTACAATCGTTTTTATCTTCTTTTTTTTTAAATATTTACTGTGACTTAGTAAATGAAGATAAAAAGGAGCAAAATGTTTTGAAATAATAAGGATCACTTCTAAGAAACTAGAAGTTATTAGTCAGTTTGAAATTTAATTTGATGTCTGTCGATTCTACTACACAACACTGTCAGTAGATTATGTTTAAACCGTTCAATATGGACCATCTCTTATATATACGTTTTTAAATTACCATAAAGTTTATCAATGATTTTCTCTACTTTGTAAATGACTGTCTCGTTGGCCGAGTGGTCGCAAGTGCGACCGCGGCGGCAAGGGGTTTCAGATTTGAGTCCCGGGTCGGGCAAAAATATTACTGAGATTTAAAATAAATATCATTAGTAGCACGGAATTTGAAATTGTGCCCGGTATATGGCAATAGGATCACCCCCTATTACATGGGACTCATAACATAAATAGTGAAGATTATTACATTGTACATTGGCATTAAGTGCCGTAATGTGCACTTCAGCCTACCCCTTCGGCGATAAAAAGGCGTGATGTTATGTAGTAAATGACGCCTGAAACATTAACTTTCCCATAATTCTTCTAATTTTTCGACCTTAAAACTAAAGTTCAAAGAGCAAAGAGTCTCACCAATAAAAGGTCCGATGGCGAGCTCGACAGGTATAGACCAGCCAGTGCCGAGCGCGCCGGTGAACGTCTCCCGGTCGTACCCGTAGTGTGTGTGCATCGTGTCCAGGTACTTGAGCATACATTCAGTGTCACTTAGGTTGGCCACCTGAGGATACAGAGAGAAGAAAATAGGTTAGAAAACACTCAAAATTAAATTACTTTTATTTGTTCTTGAACTTAAGTATGTTTTACAGCTTATTAACGTGACTGTTTCGACGAGGTAACTCGACTAGGGATTTTTTTTTTTAAGGGGGAAAATCATCCTGTGACTGCTCCCGCCTGGGTGAGGCGGGAGGGAGTGTCAGACTCTTACTGACTAAAAACCACCCCGTTCCTTCTCCTGCACGTCGAGCCGGAGCCCCGGTTACCCGTTAGGTTCTCCGCGACGAACTCGACTAGGGATAGCCACTCGTTGCGTCGGTTTCCGAGCGAAGTGTTCATAATTATGAGACCCATGCGTGGCTTGAAACTAGTCGCGTCACCTTGATAAGTTGCGGGAATAAGCCGTAAAAAATAATTTAACCTTTAGAATGCCACGGTCGGCTATAGACAACAAACAAAATATGTCGTCATCCGTAACAATCGGCCACAGCCGACGACAAAACATGATTTTTAAATACATTTAGTTTGTCGGAACCATTGAGTACATTCAGTATTACTTAGAATTAATGAGAAATGAAATGAAATCGTTTATTTGTAAACATAGGTAGTATTTGTAAATAAAGGATGTTACCTTTTTAAATTGTTGTTGTATGGCCTTCTTGAGCACCTTGGGTTTGATGGCGTCGAGCACAGACTTGGGCAGGAACTTGTGCAGGCCGAACTCTTTCTCCAGGTACTCGATGTTGGACTTTTTGTCCAGAGATGTTTGCATATCCTTACAGAAGTATCTGAAATTAAAAGATAAATTACATTTAGTCTCTTCTACAGTCCGCGCCAAGATCTTTTGATGTGGGCATGAAAACCCGACAACATTCGGATGTTCGGCCAACGCTGGCGCCAAGTAGGCCCCTGCACATTGGACCAACGGCCTGGGTCAATATGTTGGCTCAACGCGCTGGTCCAAGGTGTTGGCCCAATCGTAAAGCCGCCTTTACGAGTCCTATGTGGTAGTGGGTGAGCTTAAATACGAAGTATTTTTCGCGGTTCTATGTATAAAAAATATTGTAAATGTAAATATCCTCAATAGTTAATAATTAATTTTTTCAAGACAATACACTGCAGCAAGTTTAAAATGTAAGTTTACTCACTTAATTTCTAAACAACATATTTGTATCGCCAAATCCTGGTCTACCATTGGATGATTGGCGTTGAGGTAGTCGTGTCGAACCTGTAACAGAACAGTATTTATGTAATTACCAATTATAACAGCTACGAATATTTGAAATTGATGTAATAAAGGTTATCTCTGAGGCCTTAGTACGAGTTTGATGTACGTTTAAAGTATTCGAAACGAGTACGCGTTCGGCACTCTGATTAGTCTGATTAGCCGGCACCAATGAAGCAACCAATCAGAGCGCCGAATGCGTACTCGTTACGATTACTTTAAACTGTCAAACACCAAGCGGTCACCGGTGACCGCAACCTATTGTTCTATAATTGTGTCTACAAAACCGGTACTCGACGAGTTAAACGTAAAACAAACTCGTACTAAGGCCTCAGGTCTATGTCTTTCTTTTTCCTAGTCGATTTCCTCTCTGCTGAGGATCGTGACTCCCTCACTCCCCCTGATTTTGCTCACTAGATGTCGCCACTTATCTCGTTCTTTTGCTGATGCATTGCAACATTCATGGGGATCTCCATCTCCTTGGACGTTTGGTCAGGCTACCGAATGGGACTCCGGGCTCTCGGCCTCTTTCCTTCTACTTTACCGGTCACTATGAGGCGTTCCAGATTACTAGCCATGTCTTTCTTAAGGTTTCACATATTGCTGATAAGCATTGCCTGTTTGATTTAGTAGTAGGTAAATATAATTGACTTGAGTTTAGAAGCAGCAAACAACTTGTAACTCCAACTAACCTGGTCGTAGTAATAATGGAAGGTGACCCGGTCGGCGTCGCAGAGGTCGCGCAGGTTGGCGGGCAAGTAACGCACGCGCAGCTCCAGCCGCCACTCGCTCGCCGGCCATTTTGTTAGGAGCTCCGACACAGGCGTGTCCTGGTGAATCCAACGGATCTGCGAAAAATATTCAAAAGATATAATATATGTCAGGAAATATTTTCATATTCAATCATTCCACATTTAGCACTAACCAGAGAAAAGTGAGCGGTTACAGTTATAGTTAAAGTTATGACGTCATTTAACAATTTGTCAATTGGTGCAACGTCTTTTTGACCTAACCGATACTTTAACAGAAATTTTGACGTTTGTTATTGTTAAAGTAAGTTGGTAGAACCCAGCCTTAATATTTTTCATAAACTCCTATATACCCAAAAGCAAGACCAAATCGGTCGAACAGATCTCGACTTTTTCAGATTAACAAACAGTTATTGTTTTTTATACGAGTACGATGATGTATGGAAGTATAAAATTTCTTTAATATTCGAAAATTGTAGGTAAAAAAAAACAAATTTTCAGTTACACAATAAAAGGCATAAAGACTAAGCTAATAAAAAATATGCAACAAGAAGTCCACTGAACATACCTTGCCAGTAGTCAGCCTCTTTGCTCGTAACGCAAAGCATGACGCGTATACCCTGTCTCCAGCAGCCAGCCTGGCGGCCAGCAGCCGGAGCACCGACCTCACATCCTCGTCAGCTGAAGCCCGCACCACGTTGAACCCACCGTTGGGAAGGTGGACCTTTAGTGTGGACTGGTCGCCTGCTGCGCCTCCTAGAAGATAATGATAGAAATGATTTAGCATTTTTTGTTTAGCGTCATGTTATTTTGATGAAAGGTGTAGTTCATATAGATATATTCGCCTATAATATTATGTACATAGTCATACCTTTTATTATCTCAAAAAAACATTATTATTTACATTGTTGCTTTACAAAAAGTGAAACTGCGAATATAAAAAATAACCACTACAATTACTCACATTCAAAAAAGGATAAACAAAGTAAGTGGACAACCAGCAACTTCCTAAACTTTGTAATTGGACTATGAACGTGAATACTTTATTTTAAAAAATAGACAGATATCCTATAAATATCAAATCATATTTTTATCAAAACTGTTTTCAACAGTAAAATCATTGATTGGTTCTATCCAGCTCTCCCAATAACACCCAAGACTCCCAAGAGCCGGACATTTATAGCACCGAAGTTCACTCACAGCTCGAAATACAGTATGATGGTCACGTTGCCTAAGATTTATGTTTGCACTGAGATTTTCCTCAGCATCGATGATAAATCGACTCCAAAATGAAAGTCACTGTTATAATATTTACGTGATATGAGCTTTGGGACTTAAGCTGAATTTTAAGATCCAGATTTTTGCGTTATGTCAACACGATCCTTTCTTTCCCTCAAGGATAAAGGACCTAAATACATACGTGGTATGTATGATACTAAGTGCTGTCCTCATTTTTGTTCGTGTAAAAATCTTAGAAAAATAGATTTAGCTTTTTTCCTTGAACCTTTAAATAAATGCAAAAACTTAAAATGTGCAATGAGTCGGATTGAATACTACGATGCATTTACTTTTCGCTAGTAGATACCTGACACTGATTTAATGCCAGATTTAGCGCTTGCGTTTATCCAAATGAGACTATTATAAGCTTCATTTTAATAGGCACTAAATATAACATACGTTACCAAAACATGTGTCCCTAGATTATCCCAAAACAAGATGTCTTAGTTTGGCATTCAGAACTAGCAATTATTACTTGACCAACACCCAAAACTTCCACTCCTAAGTCCCTTAAATTCCCACAACCCTTGTAAACAAACTGCCCACGTAACATCATTAGCCAAATGGATGTCAACTCTGTAATGGGGTTAATAAAACTCAGAGTCAATTAAACAGGTTGCGAGGTGCGTCAGTGAAGGTGTGGTGCCTATCCCCTGTGGCTTAGTACCCTGAATTGCTTGTAATAGATATCGCACTGTTTTGTTGCCTTCATGGCAGAAGCGGATTAACCCAGAGAGCGCCCTGGGCAAGTACCTTATCATCATCAATAGCCTATAAGTACTACTGACCAAAAGATAAGGTTGCATGTGAGCATTAATCACCACGGTGGATCAATGCGATTTCAAACTTAATCAGAAATAAGGCTAGGTTTTCTTACAATCTTTTTTGACATTTTGTCAGCGGTGTCTAGATAATCTTAGTACCTCATACGTGCCTCTAATTTATATTGGTGCCGTAGCCGCTCTGTGGACACGTGTGTCTCGCGGGGTCGTGGCGGCGCCTTTCTGTAACCTGGCGCCCTAGGTACTTGCCTAATTTGCTTTAGGCAGAATACGTCTCTGCTTCATGGAGTTACGACTGCGTAGGTTGATTGTTTGTAGATATCTATTACTTAATAGTTATAGGCCTGGCTTACTGCTACAAGTATTATAGTTCTGGAATGTAGGGTGTGAACAGTAGCAGTTTATAGGACTGATGTGATCAAAATCGACAGTGGCGCCAGTTTGTGCAAAACTAGTTTATCCAATGAAAGACTGGAAAAAGCTTGATGCATTTGGAGATCCTATGTATATATTTTTTTTAATTAAAATAAACATTATTTCTTTTTTTGTAGTAGGTTAGGTAAGATACATAGAATCGATTTGTTATCGGAACTAACCTATGGACATTGGTTTAAAGTAAAACGCAACAAATAAGTCCGAACTTAATCAGTAATTTCTATCAAAACTGTTAAGATCACAACAACTTTGCAGTATAACCTAAAAATCTCGGCTTCAAACAGTCTTTAAGCACGAAATCTTCAAAGAAGGTTTCTAAAAAGAGTTTTAAAATTAAATGCGAACTGAATTTTTACATGAACACGTAACCCGACCGTTCTTTAATTAAAAAGTGTGCACAGGTAATATAATACTCTTCTCATTAAAAAAGGAACAACCTCTTTGCTTTTAAGTTGTAATATATTGGTGGGGGAGTGGACGACAAGCGGAGGAGTGAGAACAAACGAAGGACTGAGGAAAGGGGGAGTGCGTGTAATCGGATTTCTGAAAACAAAGGCTTTTTTGTAAACTTTTTCTGTAAAATGATGGCGATGCGTGGTTAACGTGTGTACCTACGGTATTGTGTCCATTTTATGGAGGAGGGGTTAAAAAGGGTGGGGTTGTAAGTTATGTAGTTGTGGGCAGTCGTGTTTCATTATACAAAGATTTCAGTAGATGAAGGTAATTTATCTTTAAACTAGCGACCCGGCGCGGCTTCGCACGTGTGCAATATGCATGTATTATACATAATAAACCTTCCTTAAGAATCACTCTACCAAACTAAAATAAACCACTCAAAAAAAAAACCGCATCAAAATCCGTTGCGTAATTTTAAAGATCTAATCATACATAGGGACACAGACGGCGGATAGCGACTATGTTTTATACTATGTAGTGATTTTGAATCGTTTTGGCGATAATATTTGACAGTTTATAGTGACAAGACAAAATGATATTTATCTAGATTAGAACCATTTAGTTAGTAAAATACGGTAAATTTCATTGAATTAAAAACGATATCGATAGCTTAACCTTTTCAGGAGCCCAAATAAAGGCTCAATTTAATAGGGAACGAGTCTAAAAGACCAGTTTTTTAAATTACATCTCTTATATTGACAAAAAAGACGTTGTTCTTACCATGTGCTGGTGCGGAAGACTGGTGCCTCTTGGGCGAGCCGCCCGGAGGTGCGGGCTGCATGGCGCGCGCTAGCGGACCCTCGCCGCACCGCCCGCCACCTTCCGGCTCATGGCTGCAACAACATAAGACATACATTAGTACAAATAGAGAAAATACAATTTGAATTACTTATACAAAACATTTATGAATAGGGATTACATTAGCAACCTAAATACGATGCATTTATTAGATAACGCATTTCTAAAGAAAAAGTTATCGAAGGCGTCTAAATCCGTCCGTTGAAGTGAAATGTGAAATAGTTTTTATTGTAGTTTATAATTTTATTTTTTAATTTAAAAGGCTTCATGCACACACTAATGTACAAGGTGGCCTTAATGTCTTTGGCATTGAATGACCTACATTTGAATGACCAACAATAAAAAACCCTTAACGTGGCCTACAGACTAGACCGCCACGACCAACAGCTACACTTCTTTTTTTTTAGGCAGCTGTGTTGATGGGTTATTGTCGTATCGTGGTCGTCTAATCTGCGAGATCCTTAATACACAAATTAATTTCTCGTGTAAAAATCTCGTCTTCACACTCCATTTACTGTGTAAACGTACACACATTATTATTCATGAACTAGATAACGCTAACATACAACTACCTAAATCTACACAATATACCATGCACGTATATGCATATAGTTTATTTTACAATGTATTTTATTAAGATCTCTTACTGTTATTGCTATATCATTTTGTACACATTCATAGTGATTTTTTTTAAGGGGGTAAAATCATCGAATGACTGCTCCCGCCCGGGTGAGGCGGGAGGAATTGTCAGACTCTTACAGACTAAAACCACCCAGTTCCTTCTCCTGCACGTCGAGCCGGTGCCCCGGCAACCCGTTGGGTTCTCCGCGACACATTCATAGTGATGGGGTGGTAAATGATTATGAGTAAATTGTATAGATGATGCACGAGTCTGACTGCCATAGAGGCAGTTGGACGAGTGGGTTCGCAAAATTGACAGCACGGTTGGCATGGTGGCTAGCAACCGGCTGCCGTGCAACGTGTACCGGGTTCCATTCCCGCACAGAGCAACTATTTGTGTAGTGTCGCATGTGTATTTGAACTTATGTTTGTAAACGCACCCAAGACACAGGAGAAATCCTAGTGTCCCTACACCCACACGATTTTCTTCGGTGTCGTTTAAAAAAACATCTACAAAAGTTTTTCCAGTAAGTATCTATTACATATTTGCAAAGAATAAACCGTATTAAGGCACATGGTTAAGTGTAAATGTTGAAAACTTCATTAGAAAAACATTAAAAATCTTTACTTTTAGACAAATCTCATAATCTTACTAATTAATCAATTTCAAATTCAAAAACGAGCTTCCAAGCTCTTTATTTAATACATGCATGTAGGTTCACTTCTATTCGTTTATTTTCAAGGAAAGGAATCTGTTTTTACTCTCTGTGGGAGCGTCACTCAAAAACTACTGAACGGATTTTAATGACAGTTCCGTTGCTATTTTTGGACAGTGTCGACCAAAAAGGGTGTAATGTTTTGTTAGAAATATGTTAAAAGAAGCTCGAACAAATATTTTCGTGTCATTTAGTTTTCTAGGGAAGGAAGATGAACAAGTTTTGTGCAAATAAATAAGTAATAATGGTTTCAGTACACAATGATCACTGTAAGGGTCAATTATTATAGCCACGGAAGGCCCAACGGGTTGCCGGGGCTCCGGCTCGAAGAGAAGGAGTAGAAACGGGGTGGTTTTTAGTCAGTAAGAGTCTGATACTTCCTCTCGCCTAACCAAAGGAGGGTGTAGTCATTGGATGATTATCCCCCCTCAAAAAGAGGGTCACTTATATTAATGAGAACTAAATTAAAAATAATAAAAACAAAAAATCTGTACTAAACGAAACAAATGAGTTCGACATAGAAAAACAACCTAAACCCCTTTTCTGAACAATAATAGGAAACGCTCACGTTTGTTCTGTGTTCAAAAAAAGAAAATGGCCGACCTCAACCCAAAAGAAAAATATCCATAGCAAAATACAAAATAGTTTTCGCTTTAGAAAATTGGTCAGGCTTTGGTCAAGGGGTTTTACAAAAGACGTCTTTGGGTACCGACACGGTAGTCGTTTTATCCAAGGGCATTTATATTGTGTAGTTAAGAAATATTGGGCACCTTTGTGCAGAATAACGAGTAGTTTTATGTAGAATGATTTTTATTTTAAATTTTTTGCCTTGGTTATGAGTATATTTTTGGTATAATATTGATAAAACATCTAATCTCATTCTATTATTATCATTTCATTTCTAATTTTATAAAATAAAGAAGTTAACAATTCAAAATCAAACATTAAACTGTCAAACACCAAGCGGTCACCGGTGACCGCAACCTATTGTTCTATAATTGTGTCTGCAAAACCGGTACTCCACGAGTTAAATTATGCAAATAGCTTAATAACCTAAACGACTTCGATCAATATATAAATAGATAATAGATAATAACAAAAAACCTACCGCCATTTTGAAAATTAACGCGCGAAATGCCGCCATTTTATTTAAACAGACCTCTTTTCTATAAATGAACAATGGGTAGAAACAATTGTTGTCCATTACGAAAACCGTTTCACCTTAACATAATGTTTATTTTATTACACTCCGAATTATCCCACGTAAGAGGATTAGGTAACGCTGAACGTATGTAATTTTAGGAAAAACACACTTAGAAGGAATTCCTTCCATACTGGTATTTTTTGTAATTATTAATTACCTACTTTTGTTTTTATTTCTAGAATAGATCTCCATTTTCTTTACCAACTAGATTATCATAGCAAAATAAAATTGTTTTTTTTTTAAATAGATAATCAAAGAATTTACATATTATATTAATTTATAATGATTACGATACAAGTGCCTACCTATTATAGTCAAGAACAGTTTGAAAACAATTTCTTTGTTCGGTTCGAGAGAGGCACTATCACGACCCTTGCTTCAGATTGCAGCAATTACTATGTAACTTACTGGTAGAAAATTATCTACAATTTCTAGATGAAAGTAACGCATTCAAATCAATCAATTACGTTCGAAGACCGGTTTTAATAATTTTTATAGTTACAGGGGAGCCTTATAAATCGCAAAATTCCACGAACGACTGGAGCAACTTTAAGCTCTTTTTATGAAATGAAAATATTCGAAAAACCACAAAACGACAACGATGTCTGCCATCGAGTTAAAGGATCTAATTAAGAAAATCCTTTTATTAATACTCGACCCACACATAAACCAACGCAATTTCTTTTTATTGCAATAAAATAGAACATTATTAACGTCTTCAAACATAAAAACTTCCATCAAACGCGATTCAAACATTTGAGTAATTTCATATCGCTTCAATTCCACTCAAAGGTTCAACTCTCGATTGGTTCGAATCAAATTGACCGCAAGGCATCCGAACCCTTCAATAAACTAAGGGCGGTCTCACCACTCGACCCACAGACTAAAAATACACACAGAAATTCTACATTTCACAAAAATAGCCCGTTTTTAATACCTTTTCTGAAAAACCATTTAATAAGGGTAGATTATGATATTTTTACTATGGAAATATCGTGTGACAAAAACATTTTTTTTAACAATAGCATATTTTAACATCAAGCCTTTTTATCCCCGAAGGAGCAGGATGAGGTGCACGTTACGGAATGTAATGCAGCTGTACAATATAACACCCACTTTTTACTATTTATGAGTTTCATGTAATAGAGGGTGAGCTTATTGCCTTATATACCAGGCACAACTACTGACTCCGTGCTACTACTGAGATTACTCAGATTTATTTTCAAATAAAATGTTTGAAATACAACAACAACAACTACACAAGTAAACGAAATAGATAGTGGAAACAGAAATTAAAACTCGTCTTTATGCAGATTATTCAAAATATAAATATTTAATTCTTTCAGAAACAACTGAACCCCACATAGTGTCTTTTATCCCAAGTAGTAAGAAACTTCACCGTACCTGAACTCTAACATTACCAAGACATTGTTGTAAGGTTTATGAAACTTAGTTCCGCTATTTAGCTAGTTAAGAGGCGAACCTAATCCTGCATGCAACATTGCACGGCTTGAGGAAAATTTGATAGAAGTTCCCTACATGTTTAAGGATGTATTAAGATAATGTGAGGCTGGAGAATGTAGCTAAATTGTACGTTTATTATAGGGTTGCTTTCGTTGTTGGATTGAGTTACATCATACATGATGGTACCTAATAGAAGGTTTTTGTCTCTGTGGTCGATATGAATTATGAAACTTTATGGTGGATAGTTTCCATCGAATCCTTCACGTAGGTGTTAAAGTGCAGTTACTATAAGAAAGTTGTGAGGTGAATAAAACAATCCATTTTTCCTTCTTAGTTGAGAAAAATTTGTCATGAAAATGGGGGCCAGCTTAAAGCATTTGGCCAATTTAAAACACCCCATTAGTGAGTTTCATGATTGTGATCGATTTAAATGTTTGATACGATCAGGCTTAGCATTATCAAATAATGTAATTCAATAAATTATCAGGGCAAACAGAAGTCTAAACATTAAAATACAGGACATGTTTAATCAAAATCTATCCTCGTTGATTCATTGACAACGAATTTTATCAATTGACGTACAATTTACAGGAACAGATAAGCAATGGAGTGAGTGAATGAAATATGATTCAATATTTCATGGATTAGAGCAGAATACAGATTAAAAATTCCGAGTAAAATATATTGTGACGATTTTGTTTTTATTTTAGGCTCAAGTTTAAAAGATTGAAGTGACTTGTTTATCTTTAGTATTAGAAATCTGTGCCTCTTAACTACGAAGACATCGAATTCAATTTTTTGAGGTTATAATTTAGTTGCTGACTGATGTTGTTGGTTCTACATGATGGATAGGTGCAATTAAAATTGCTGTATTATTACAATACCAATTATAAGTTTTCTTTATTGAGTGACAGCGTTATCCTATTGGAAACAACCTGTTAAATAGTATGTGTTGGTTTAAATAAATATATACATAACTAGCGACCCGCCCCGGCTTCGCACGGGTGCAATATGCATGTATTATACATAC